TGTACCACAACTGTGAATGCCCTCCAGTAGAGAGAGATGCCCTTCAGGATCTGTGAATGAAGTAACCCATGAGGAAAGGGACAAGTCACCATGATTATTGCATCAATTAAGAGCAGCTGACCAAGCTTGGGCTGCTTCCTCACTAGGGCTCTTAGGAAGCAAGGGAAGGTAGAGTTTGCAAAGTCAAAAAGCCACACATGATGCACACTGCGGAGTTACGGTTTGTATTTTGTTGTTTCTTTATTATGGGTTTAGATCCTCCCCCAGGAGGAAGGGAGGAACTCTTTTTCAGAAGTCAGGAGATACCATTTACTTGCCTGAGAGGCATGAGGTACTGTGCCAGTCAGGATAACCTGATCTTGCCTTAATCTCTTCATTCTCCACTTGTTTTAGTCCCTTTCAAATCTTGATTTTGATGAAAGAAGAGGAACTGGCCCTTGGAGCCATTGATCCCAAGGCGGCCTGTCAACTGACTGAGTTGAACCACCAGTTAATTAAGCAGGGCCTGACCACTAGAGCAGATGTGGCAGAGCCAGTCCTAAGGAGCTGTTGTGATGAGCCCTCTAGGAAGCATTTCCCCCAATATTGCCCTGTGCTGAAAGGACGAAGGGCAAGTGACCCCTATCTGCAGTTGCCCCATTCATTACCTCAAGCTGCTGTCAGGGGCACATGTGGCCTCCAGGGTTGTGAGGAGGGTTGAAGAGCAGCTTCCATATTCTCTGGGAGGTGATTTTGAGCATCTGGCTTTGATGGACTTTCTTTTTTATTTTTATTAATTACAGTTTATTCACTTTGATGGACTTTCACAGTCCAGGTTTTTCCCACCCTCAGACAGTGCTGTTTTCTCAGCTGTGTGTGGTCTGTCTGCTGGATGGCACCTACTGTTGGTGTTTAAATGTGTGCCCATCGTTCAGGCTGTTTTGTTAACTGGACTTGTGGGTGAGTCTCTCTCTGTTAGGTAAACTTTTCCCTGGGTCTACATTCAGTATCATGCATTACTCTCTCATCCTTGACTTGGCTTTGCCAGGAGGAGGAAAACTGAAAGTCAGGGCAAGGACATGACCAAATCAGCTGTGGTACAGGTCCTGTCCCAGTTGGGTGGCATGTTAGATACCAATATCCCCTATTCACAGCATCCTCATATTTTACCAAGGGAGCCTTTAAAGCAGAATAATTTGTATGTGCTCGTCTGTATGCTGAGAAATTTAGGATGTACGAATAGACTTCTCCATTGGGCAAGTGAATCCATCCCACGGTCATGTGAGACATGAGGAGAAATTCAACTTTGGGTAAGGATGAAGTTCTCCTGGTCAGTCCTACAAGCAGGAGAGAGACAGGAGCAGCAGGTTTTCAGCAAGTCTTCTCTCCCCACACATCCTTATCCTGTAATGTGTTTCATATTAAACAAGTTTAAGCTTGTTTTGAGGTATATATAAGGATGTAGTTTAATTACATATTTAGGAGACTATAAAAATGAGTTATAAATTGGTCTCTCATAATATTATTTTTGTAAATATCATTTGTACTAAGAATAACCATAAATATATTATTGGGGCCACATTAGAGACATTTACTCACTAATGAGGTAACTGATAAGTAAAAATATGTTTTAATTGCTCTTGTTTTACCAGCTCACAATAAGTTAGTAAAGTTGGTAACTTTGGTATGCCTTTTGGGCATATGCATCAATAGTAAGTAAGAACTGCATATACAATGCTTTATACTGGTTGATTAGGTATCTGATAATCATATCCCTCTACTCTGCTCACTGGGTGCATGTGGCTCTGTCCTCTTTACATTATGGGTCCTTGTTTTCTATGACAATGATGATGTCATTGATATAAAAACCCTGTTCTGAACATAAAGGGAATTACAGATTTTTTATTCTGGAACCAAATATGACTGAAACTGTTTTTTGCTTTTCTTGAGGACACACAAACAAATGCCTATTCAGCCCAGATTTGTCAGAGATGGAGAAAACATAATGAACAATAAAAAATAAAAAGTTAAATTATAAGAAAAAAAAACAGGAAAAAATTAATGAATAGAGATTTGAAGACAAACATACACAATTATTCATTTGGTTTTTAAATGGTTAAAGAATTTCTTCAACTGGTGAAACTACCCAAAGACAGAGACAGAGAGTCACTGTGAGAGTGAGAGTGACAAGGTATCAATCTAGACACATGGAGAGAATCTAAAACCAAAGTCAGCACAGGGAGTTGTTACAGTAAACCTCAAGGATTCCAAAACATATTATGGAAATATTTTTGTAAGCCTATAATCCAAGAAACTAGAAAGTTTATATGAAATGGGTACACTTCTAAACATACACAGGACAGAATGAAAAAAAAAGCAAAAAGATAAAATAAAACAACACCGGACAGACCTATAACAATAAGGAGATTGAATCAGTTAATAAAATACAAAGTTAAATCTGGGCCCAGATGGGTTTCTGCTACCTTCTAGAAAACATTCAAGGAAGATCTAATACCAACACTTCTAAATCTCTCCCATAGAGCTGGTATAACCCTAATATTAAAATTAGAGAAACACATACACACACACATACCCCAGCCCAATAGATTGAATGTAGATTTAAAGACTAGGCATACTGCATCTAAATTATAGTTATACATTGTCTTGGTTAGGGTTTTATTGGTGTGAAGAGATACTATGACCACAGCGATTCTTATAAAGAAAACATTTCATTGGAGCTGGCTTACAGTTTCAGAGGTTTAGTCCCTTATCATCTCGGAGGGATGCATGGCAGCGTGCAGACAGACACGGTCTGAAGGAGCTGAGAGTTCCATACCTTGATACTTAGGCAGCAGCAGGAAACTGTGTGACACACTGAGTGTAGGTTGAACATAGGAGACCTCAAAGCCCAGCCCCACAGTGACACACATCCTCCTACAAGGCCACATCTCTTAACAGTGGTAATGCACGCCCCAAACCCCCCAAAAGAGTGCTACTACCTATGGGCCAAGCATTCAAATACATGAGTCTTTGTGGCCCATACCTACTCAAAACACCACATCCATCAATTCCAAGTTTTTGCCCTTCTTGTGATGCAAGGCTGAATATGGAAAAACATATATTTCATAATATATATACATACACACTCAGACATTAAAACAGAAAGGCCACACTTGGAAAATTTCAAAAAAACATTTGTTATAAGTCTGGATAAATCTAGAAATAGATGGTGCATATTTAATATAATAAAGGCTTGGAAAAAAGAACACATTTCTGGATTACAGAGTTTATATTATAGAAAAGTCTACATCACTAAAACTATTTACATGTTCACCACAAAAAAATTCTAAGGAAAATCATCATAGAACAGGGGAAGAGTACATGGGAACACCAAAGACCAAAAATAACCAAAGATGCGTATTTCCTGCATGGACTCACATAACAACAAACATGCAGACCAACACAGTGCAACCTAAGAATAAGAGATAAACACTAAAGCAACGGACATACAATTTTATCAAACGTGTCAAAACCAGGAACCAAAACTGACAGCCATTTCAACAAATACTGTTGGTATGACTGGAACCAGATGAAGGATCAAATTCTGGATGGAGAGTACCTAATCCTACAGGTCCAATTTAACATGAGGGGCTTCTGATGAAATGCAGTTGATTCCAAAGAACTTATGGGGAGCCACACATCCTGCAGTACCATGAGCTGTTCTCCTAGACTAGCTTGGAGTGATTTGTAGCATTCTGATGTCTATAATGACTTTTCAACCACAGAAATATATTAACTGTAAGCAATGCCCCACATTTATACATATTCTGTATTAATAGTGTGTCTACTATACTTCAATGGATCCATTATTATCTAAGTGATAAAAAAAGACTGCTAACTATTTCCAGGTGTGCTGTGCTTTACATGATAGCTAATTTGCTACTATATTGTGGAAACACTGGAAAGGATCCTGTCAGTGTCTTTTATATGTACAAGGAAATACTACAATATGAATCACAGGTAATGAAGGTTGGTCTTAAGGCTTTGTCATGCTATTAATTTGTAGGGCTTCTAAATCAGACAAGAACTCTGACAGTAAGGTGTAAAAGATGATCAATTTCTCTTGTCTACTGAGTATGCTACTTTCATTCATGCCTAAATTTCTCCTTCTGAGCTTGGAACAACTGTTTAACACGCACCTAATGTCTAATTTCACAGGTTCCTCTCCAGTGTGAAAATTTTGATGTTAAATTAGGGAAACATTATAAAACTCTTGTCAGATTCTATCAGTAAGGCTTCCCTACACTGTGAATGCTCAGATGCAGAGAAAAGGTTTTGTGACACCGGCTCTGCTATGCTGTCTGATGGTAGCAGCTGAGGTATGAAGAAGACTGAAAAGCCTCCCATATTCATTGCTGTCCTAGATTGATTTCTGTTGGACTGGTTAAAAACAACTTGGAGAATTACCAGTTAATTTCAAGTTATGAGTTACTGTTTATCATCTGGTGAACCCAGGACAGGAAGTGATGCAGAAACCATGGGGGAATGCTGCAATCAAGGAGTTCCTATGCAGGTTGGTGCTGGTTATCCTGGCTGACTTCTACATCACATAGAAAATACAACAAACACAAGTTTATAAGCAAATAACAAACTGGACCTTTCAGATAGTGCTCGGCAGTGTGATGTGGACATCTACAGCTGATGAGGACATCTGTACCTGCAGGTTTCTCACCTACGGCAATTCTTTGGTGCTGATGAAGACTTGAAGTGTTATTCAAGGCTCAGGGAAGGCTTTTATGTGTACAGAGTGCCTCTGCAGTATGAAGTCTCTGCAGATACTTAAAGGTATGAAGAACAGGTAGAGAGCTTGCCACCTTGATTACTTTTGTAGGCCTCCTCATCAGGATGTATTCTCTGATGCTTACATAGACATGAGGCATAGCTCAACCCTGGTCCTTTTCTGCACAAGTAGGGTTTCTCTCAAGTGCAGATTACTGAGGTTGAACCAGGACTGAACGATAAATGAAACCTTCACCACATCCTTCACATTACAGCTCTGATGTTCAGGATGTAGACTGTTGTTATTTAAGATATGAGGAAACACTAAAACCCTGTCACTTCCTTCACATTTGACTGACTGGTAAAGCACTTGCCATTCTCCCCACATGCATGGCTTCTCTACTCCCTACATTCACTTGCGCTGTGTAAGATCTGAGTGATCAGCACAGGCTTTACCACATTGCACACACTTGTTGAGCATCTATTCAGAATGAGTTCCTTGATGCCTTTTAGGTGCTGAAGAAGTACAAACTTTGTAGGAACTTTACAAAACTCTACAATATGAACTGTCTTGTGATGAGAAGGGATGAGTAACAGAAATTTGCCATATTTCATAGGCTTTTAGGCCTTCTCTTTAGAATGAATTATTTGATGTCTTTTAAGGGTTGAAGATGAGGAATATCCTTTGCCACACTCCTCACACTTGTGCTGTTTCTCTCCAGTATGAACCAACTTGTGCTGGCTAAGTGTGCACAGCAGAGTAAAGGTTCTGTCACATTCCTCACACTTGTAGGGACTCTCTTTAGAGTGAATTATTTGATGTCTTCTAAGGAATGAAGAAGAGGAAAATCCTTTGCCACACACTTCACACTTATAGGGTTTCTCTCCAGTGTGACCTATCTTGGTGAGAACAGAAGGCTTAGTAAATCCTTTTCCACACAGGTCACATTTGTGTGGTTTCTCTCCAGTATGAACTAGCTTGTGTTGAGAAAGGTTATATTGAGTAACAAAGACTTTATCACATTCCCCACACTTGAAGGCCTTCTCTTCAGAATGAATTGTTTTATGTAATTTAACATATGAAGGACTAGAAAATTCTTTGCCACACTCTTCACATTTGTATGATGTCTCTCCAATATGAACAAGCTTGTGCTGAGTAAATACACGAAGTTTGGTAAAGGCTTTGCCACATTACCCACACTTGTAGGGATTGTCTTCACAGTGAATTCTTTGATGTGCTTTACAGTCTGAAGAATAGGAAAACCTTTTGTCACATCCCTCATACTTGGAGGGTTTCTCTCCTGTATGAACTGTCTTGTGTACCTTAAGGGTTGTACGTTTACTAAAAGTTTTGTGACACTCTTCACACTTGTATGGTTTCTCTCCAGTATGAGTTTTTTGGTGTCTTTTAAGGTCTGAAGTACGGTAAAACAATTTCCCACAGTCTTCACATTGATAGGATTTCTCCCCAGAATGACGTAATTTGTGCAGAGTAAGACAAGAGAGAATAGAAAAGGCTTTTCCACATTCTTCACATTTATGTGGTTTCTCACTCATGTGACTTCTCTTGTGTATAGAAAGGTATGGGCGAGTACGAAAATCCTTGCCACATACTTCACATTTGAAGGGTTTTTCTTGACAATGAATTCTTTTATGTTTCCTCAGATATGAGATACAGGCAAACATTTTGCCACACTCTTCACATTTGTGGCATTTCTCTCCAGTATGAACTATTTTGTGCTGAACCATGGAAGAATTAGTAGAAAAGGCTTTTCCACAGACTTCACACTTGTATGGTTTCTCTTGACAATGAAGTTTTTTATGTTTTTTCAGTTTTGAAATAGAGTAGGACATCTTCCCACATTCTTCACATCGATAAGGCTTCACTCCATTATGAATTAACTTGTGCTGAATCAAGACATAATTATAAGAAAAGGCTTTCCCGCATTCTCCACACTTGTAAGGTTTCTCTCCAGAATGGACAAACTTGTGCTGAGTAAGAAAGTAAAGCGTCGAAAAGGCTTTGCCACATTCCCCACACTTGTAGGGATTGTCTTCAGAATGGATTAATTGGTGTCTTACATAGGATGATGAAGAATAAAAACATCTTCCACACTGTTCACAATGGTAAGGTTTCTCTCTGGAATGGACAGGCTGGTGCTGAGTAAGAGAATGAATTAATTGGTGTCTGCTATGGGATGAGGAAGAGGAAAAACATCTGCCACAGTGTTCACACTTGTAGGGTTTGTCTCCAGAATGAATTCTTTGATGTTGCTTCAGCATTGAAGGATAGTAAAATGATCTGCCACAGTCTTCACATTCATAGGTTTTTTCATCCGTATGATTTTTCTGGTGTATAAAGAGTGATGAGCGAGCACTAAAGGCCTTATGACATTCTTTACACTTGTAGGGTTTTTCTCCAGTATGACGTCTCTGGTGTATAGAAAGTGTTT